ATCAACAACAACAACAACAACAACAAAAACTTTTAGATTTGATAAATTTAGTACAGTTTCAGGATATAAAATCAATACATAAAAATCAGTAGCTGAAAAAATCTAGACTCCAACAACAAAATATCCTTTATGCTTGATAAATTTAGTAGAGTTTCAGGATATAAAATCAATACATAAAAATCAGGAGCAGTTCTGTATACCAATAAAAAACTAGCTGAGAAAAAAATCAATAAAGCAATCCCAGTCACAATAGCTAGAAAATAAATACAATACTTAGGAATAAATTTAACAAAGCAAGTGAAAGATTTCTATAAGGAAAACTACAAATCACTGAGGATAGAAATTGAAAAAATAGAAACAAATGGAAAGACATCCCATGTTCATCAATGAAAAGAATATTGTTAAAATTATCATACTGCCTAAAGCAGTCTTCAGATTCAATACAATTGCTCTCAAAATACCAACATTGATTTTCATAGAATTTTTTAAAAAATCTTAAATTTTATATATAACCAAATAAGAGCCAGAATAGTCAAAACAGTCTTGAGTGAAAAGAATAAAGCTGAAGGCATCACATGGCCTGTCTTCAAAACATATTTTAAGGCCATAGTAATGCAACCAGCATAGTTTTGGTATACCAAACAGATGAATGAAACAGAATAGAAAGTCCAGAAATAAGTTGGCATTTTTATAGCCAACTGCTTTTTGATAAAGGTGCCAAAAAGATACGCTGGAGTGGGATGCTCTCCTCAATAAATGGTGCCAGGGAAAGTAGATTTCCATACACAGAAGAATGAAACTGGACTCATTTCTCCCCATATATGAAAATCAACTCAATGTGGATTAAAGACTTAAACATAAGCCTGGGAATTATAAAACGACAAGAAAAAAGCTTAAGGAAAACACTTTAAGACCTCACTGTATGCAAAGACTTGGAGGCTAATACCTCAAACGCACAGGAAACAAAAGTAGACAAATGGGGCCTTAAAGACTAAAAGACTTCTGCACAGCACAGGAAGCTATCAACAGAGCGATGAGACAAGCCATTGAATGGGAGAAAATATTCGCAACTATTCATCTGTCAAAGGACTAATATCCAGAATATGCAAGGAATTCCAACCACTCAACAATTAAAAATTATAATCAGTTTAAAAAGTTGGCTAGAAACATAATAGATATTTCTCAAAAGAAGACATGCAAATGGCAAACAGGTATGTGAAAAAAAATGCTTAACATTACTAATCATCAGGGAAATGCAAAGTCAAGCCACAATAAGGTACCATCTTAGCCCACTCAGAATGGCCATTATTAAAAAGACAAAATATAACCAAAGCTGATAAGAATGCAGAGAAAGGGGAACATTTATACATTGGTGGGAAGGTAAAGTGGTACAATCACTATCGGAAACAGTATAGAGATTCCCCAATTAAACAAAAAGCAAACTATCATATGTGCCGACAATCCCATTATGAGATATTTACTCAAAGGAAAAGAAATTGCTGTGTCAAAAGGATACTTTTACTCTCAGGTTTATCTTGACACTATTCACAATAGAAAAGTTACAAAATCAACCTAAGTACGCATCAATGGATGAATGAATAAAGAAAAGTGCTACTTTTCCACTCAGCTGTAAAAAAGGTATGAAATCATATCATTTGCAGAAATACGTGGAACTAGAGTTCATTATGGTGAGATAACCCAGGCACAGAAAGACAAATCCCATATGTTGCCATTCATACATGGGAGCTAAAAAGGTTGATCTCATGAAGATAGAGAATAGAATGATAGATATTAGAAGCTGGGAAGGGTCTGTGGATGGGACGGGGACTAAATTGAGGTTCATTTGTGGGTACAAACATACAGTTAAACAGAAGAAATAAACCCCAATACTGGATAGCAAAGTAGGGTGACTATCACTAGCAACAACATATTGTACATTTCAAAGTAGCTAGAAGAGATGATGACAAATGTTACCAACACATAGAAATGATGAATACGCAAGGTGACAGATATTCCAAATACCTGACTTGATCATTACACATTCTATGAATGTAACAAATACTCACAAGTCCCCCATAAATATGTAAAACATTCTGCATCAGTAATATAAAATAATGATAATAACATAATAAAGAAACTGTTAATAATTTAGCCCTCATCATAATTTAAAATTTCGGGTCAGCAAGAGACCTTAGAAAGATGATAAAAGACACCAACAATTTTTTTTCTATTCAAATTCTTAATAATACCTTCAGGCAGTGTTTAAGTGTCCTTTCTGGATAAGTGATTACTTAGTTCCAGTTTTCAAAAGTAGTTGTTCTATTCACAGTACTTTCATAGTAATTGTGACAAATATTTGAATTTGTGATCAGTTTCCCCCCAAATTTGTGAAATACAATGCATTTTTTCTCTTTCCAACAACAACAGCACCTTAACCACACAAAACCAAAGTAAGTCTACGCAACAAAAATCAAAACTTACCTTTGTAAATGTAGAGTCTAGATACAACAGTCCTGATTTGTCATATAAATACACAAGGAAATGAGGGTATAAAAATGACCTAGTTCAACAAAAATAATGGCACTTCATTGTAATAACATGATTAATAAAAATAATTACCAGCAGAATGAGATTAAACAAAATTTACTTTCAATATGACAGACCAAATGATCCAAAAATTAAATGAACATAACTTTTTATTACCCAGCTAGTTTTCTGACAGCATGAGAGTACATAGGAAAAAATAATAACTAATATAATCAGAAAACACTACGTAAGTTAGAATAAATTCAAAATGATCAATTGACCTATGCGGACTGACACATAATAATAACCAGGGCTTCCAGATTCCCACAACAGGCTTCTGTTAGATTCAACAGTTAATAAATCTGATGGCACAAATGCCTTAGTTAAGATTTGCTAATGAGTAGCAAATATTGTATCTATGTATGTATATAATATACACACGTAGACAAATATAGCAAATCACATTGTTCTTTTAAAATACTGAGAAATTTGGTGTTGTTTTTACCTGAGCATAACTTAGTAGAGATTAGATAGATACATGGATGGATAGGTACATACGTAGATAGATAATACTTTTTTTCATTCATTGTTTTGATATAGCTATTGATTTAGGGTGCTGGTAAAATCAACCCCCAAATTCTCAGTACCATATGATAATGAGTATCTTTCAGCTCCATGCTGGCTTAATTATAGAAGCTAGGAAATGGCAGAGGACAAAAGGGACATTTGCAGATATGCACTGATTCAGAATGCATGATCTCCATGTATTTAATCTGAAGAAAAAAATCTTAAATTTTAAATGTATTGTAATTAAACAATACCTGGTTCAGCATAAAAATTACAATAGAAGAAGAAGCAAAAAGGAAATGGTGATTAACAATAAAAACCTGCACTGATAAGACTTGGAAAATGCAATATAGTTGTTAAGAACTGAAAGCATTGTATTTATTTATTTAAATGTGAAAACAGTCTAAAAATATGATAGGATTACTATGATTTAAATTCAAGATGTCAGAGAGACAAGGAATCCCAAAACCTATTAAAAAAGTAAATATAATTTATTACACAACAATTTGATTTTTATAACAATACATCCTACAGACAAAGGAAGAAGGTGATCAATAGTCTGTGTCGCATATTTGCCATATGTAGGAAAAACAAGAGTTAATAAACACAGTAAAGAAAACCTCCCATAAATTGATAGTGGGAGAAAGAAAAGAAAGAAGTATAGAAATTAGAAAAAAAAACAAAAAACAAGCTTAAGGAGGCAATCTTATTAGAATGTTATGTATATATATGAAAAGCTACCACATTTTATTTGTAATCAATAAAATACATATATAAAATAAAATAGCATTTCTTATCTAATAATTGGCAACAATAAATAAGTAAAAATACTCACTTTGCTGAGGATGTAGAGAACACAAACATTTGAATTGTTGCCAAAAAGTGAAAACTGGCATAAACCCTTTGGAGTAAAATGTGGCAGTAGATAGCACATCTAAATATTTTTTTATTTATAACCCATTAATTTTACAGGCTCCTAGAAAGTCACAACCAAGGATGTACATAAATAGCTTTCCTGGTTGTTATTGTTAATGGAAAAAATAATGGAGCAAACTAAATGCCCCTCACTATAAATATGGGTGGATAAATAATAAATGAGATATGTTAATTTGATGGCTACATATGCACTTAAAATAAAGAACTCATTTTGAAGATATCAACATGAATTAATTTTTAAAAATAATATTAAGTAAAATGCTTTATGATAAACAATCAGAAAACCACAACTACATACAGTAAAATAATAAGTATTGCCCACACCTTGGGTCACTTGAGGATAGGCTCAATAATTCTGCTAATCTGGGTCAGGATTGCTCAATGGCCAGATGTTGGCTAATCTAGGAGGGGATGAATACAGAATCTTGGCTGTGAACCATGTTTTCTCTCTTCCAGCCAGCTGGCCCAAGGATATTTTCATGGGGATGGCAGACACAAAATGGCAAGCAAAAAGTATGAGAGCTTTTTCAAGCCTCTTTAGTTCTCAGTCAACATCTCTTTGGCCAAGGTGAGTCACATAGCCACAGGGTGGACTACATAATTCATGGGGTCCATGGTTAAATAAAAATGTAAAGCCTTGGCCGGGCGCGGTGGCTCACGCCTGTAATCCCAGCACTTTGGGAGTCCGAGGCGGGTGGATCACAAGGTCAAGAGTTCGAGACCATCCTGGTCAACATGGTGAAACCCCGTCTCTACTAAAAATACAAAAAATTAGCTGGGCATGGTGGCACGTGCCTGTAATCCCAGCTACTCAGGAGGCTGAGGCAGGAGAATTGCCTGAACCCAGGAGGCAGAGGTTGCGATGAGCCGAGATCGCGCCATTGCACTCCAGCCTGGGTAACAAGAGCAAAACTCCGTCTCAAAAAAAAAAAAAAATGTAAAGCCTTTCATTCAGCAATACCCAGAATCTGGTAATACAATATTGTGCCAGAATTCATTATCCAGAAACTTTGCACCTAAATTCAAAATATTTTTTAGTTTTCTTTTCTAGAAAATTCTCTGTTTTTTTTTTTAAAGATATTTATTTTTGGCCAGGTACAGTGACTCACACCTGCAATCCCAGTACTCTGGGAGGCTGAAGCAGTCGAGTCACTTGAGGTCAGGAGTTCAAGACCAACCTGACCAACATGGTGAAACCCTATCTCTACTAAAAATACAAATATTAGCCAGGCGTGGTGGCATGCACCTGTAATCCCAGCTACTTCGGAGGCTGAGGCAGGAGAACCGCTTGAACACAGGAGGCGGAGGTTGCAGTGAGCCGAGATCACACCACTGCACTCCAGCCTGGGCAACAGAGTGAGACTCTGTTTTAAAAATATATGTGTGTGTGTGTGTGTGTGTGTGTGTGTGTGTGTGTGTGTGTGTGTGTGTACATGTATTTTTAATTAAATTGGCAAATTATAGTTGTGTAGTTGTATGTAAGATAAATCGTATATACTGTTGGTGAGAATGAATACTAGTATAGCCACTATGGAAAACAGTATGGTGTTGTCTCAATAAACTACAAATAGAAGTACCATATGATCAGCAATCCCACTACTATGTGTTTATCCATAGGAAAGGAAATCAATGTACTGAAGAGACGTTTCCACCCCCATGTTTATTGTAACACTTTTCACAATAGCCAAGATATGGAATCAACCTAGGTGTCCAACAATAGACGAATAGATAAAAAATGTGTGGTACATATGCACAATGAAATATCATTCAGCCATAAAAAGGAATAAAATCCTTTCATTCAAGGCAACATAGAAGGAACTGGAGGACATTTTGTTATGTGAAATAAGCCAGGAACAGAAAGTTAAATACCACATGTTCAAATTCATATGTAGAAGCTAAAAAAAGTTGACCTAATAAAAGTAAAAGAGTAGCACAGAGGGTACTACAGACTGGAAAGAGTAAGGAGAAGGGAGGGAAAGGGAGAGATGTGTCAAAGGATACAAAATTATAGCTAAATGGGAGGACTAAGTTCTAGTGTTCTGTATCAGTGTAGTATGAATATAGCTAACAATATACCGTGTAGTTTCAAATAGCTAGAAGGAGGATATTAAATACTCCCAACCCAAAGAAATGATAGATGTTCGAGATGATGGATATCTAATTACCCTAATGTGATCACTATATATTCTATGTATATAACTGTGTACCCCATATGTGTACAGTATCAATTAACATATTTAGAATTTAAAATTGTATTAAAAGGAACCTCCAGACAGCAATGGCAAAGCATTAAACTAGGTGCAGCACCCTTTTAACCATATGGAATCTTGCTAGCATGAAGCTGGCCATACACAGCTAAACTCAGTTCCATGGGCTAGGGATGCAGAGATTGGGGAAGGTGCATAAACACCCCTATTGATGATAAGAACTTCAACGTTGCATGGCAAGGAGTGAAGATACAGGTAATTGTAAAGAATTGATGCTACTTCAGTGGTACACCATGTTAACATAATAAGTGATATAGTTCAATATACAGCATTGTACCATTCAGGCCTATTAAATGTAATGCTAAAACATGATTTTTATAGTATATGGATGAATAAAGGTAAAAATATGATACAGAAGACCACATGTAATGTCATAATTGCAGTTATCACTGGAAAATGAAAGAAGTGAACAGGTCTGGGAAGGAGAATAATGAGATTTCTGTAATATTGTCATGTACAGTTTTTGTTTTAAATATGTAGACAAAATGCCTGCATATGCAACATTCATAATAATGATCAAAGTGTTTATATTATTCTCTGAATTATCCTTTTTCATTTTTAATCCTTCTATAAAAGCTAAGGAAATACAAAAAAATTGTGGGAAAACAATGTAAGTAGCCTCATGTGTAAAAATCCAAACAACTGATAAATGTTTAGGAAAAGTATTTAGGAAAAGACAAGCTGAAGTTGAGATAAAATATTTTAGCATACCATGCATATTTTCAAAAATGTAAATTGTTATTGTCTTTTCAGAAAGTAGTTTGGAAATACATATCAAAATCTTAATGTACTGGTCAGGCACGGTGGCTCACACCTGTAATCCTAGCACTTTGGGAGGTCAATGCGGATGGATCACTTGAGGTCAGGAGTTTAGGAGCAGCTTGACCAACATGGTGAAACTCCATCTCTACTAAAAATACAAAAATTAGCCAGGCATGGTGAGGCACACCTGTGGTTCCAGGGATTCGGGAGGCTAAGGCAGGAGAATTGCCTGAACCCCAGAGGCAGAGGTTGCAGTGAGACGAGATCACACCACTGCACTAAAGACTGTGTGACAAAGAGAGAATCTGTCCCCCACACGCTCCCCCCAAAATTTTAATATACTATAGAATGTGAATAATAAATAATGCCTGCCTTAAAGGTTGTTAAAATTAAATCATTTAGTACATGTAAATTGTTTATAAATATGTCTCGCAAACTGTATTGTTCTCAGTAAATAATTACTTTTATTGTTATCTATTGTAATTATTATTACTTATTGATACAGAAACCTATTTATTGGTATCCAGTCTAAGAAACAAAAGCTCTAGTATACAAGAGTATATGTACAATGATGCTTATTGCAGGGCCCTATAATGACAATCCCTGGAAATACCTTAATTAATATTACATACTATGGAATATTATCTATTAAACTATGAGTTATATATACACATACAAAAAATGAATAATATTAATTATAAAATACAACTTCTAAGTTCAAAACACAATATCTGTTTGTGAAAAATCAATCTTTTTTGGAGGTTCCTATGTGTTTTCTTTAAAGGAAAGATGGAATTTAGAATGAATAATTATAGAAAGATATATACAAGAATACAAATCCTGTGTTTCTCAACAGAAGGAAAGTAGTAAGAGTAGACTTTTAAAAAGCATATACTGTAGAAAAATTAAGTAAAGTGCACAATATCAAGAAAAATGATTAAAATTATAATAATATGTAAAATGACAAGTGCAGATGAACAAAATAAAACATGAAAAAATCCCCATAATTATTGCAATTCTGGTTACATTTTTAAAAGTTACATAATTTTCTTTTATCACATATACATTAAGATTTACACCTTTAAGTTGGAATTTGGCTCAAATATTTGATTTAAAATAAAAACATGAAGACCTAAAATTATAGTCTGACAAGAATCACAAGGAGGATATAATATTTTAAATGAATATATTATTCATATTCTTATTTAAGTTCAATTTAGTATTGTGATTATAAAAGTTTCACAAACTAAAAATAACTGTTTGAAAAGAATGGCCACTTACTGTTTTTCAAGATGGAGAGTGTATATTTTCCCAACAATTTTGATGACATAAATGACCGGTAGCAAAGTATTCAGAGAGAATTTAATTATTGGCAATTCCAGCTTCTCACAGGTGAAAAGCTATAATTTCAGAAATGTAGGTACTCTTTCATATAGATATAGATTATACCCTACATGCCTAAAATCATAGATACATGTGTAAGTATAGTTTTGCTATTGTTCAGTCTTGGAATCTATGACAGAATTAATCATAGTCAAAAGTACACAAAATCAAGTGTCTAAATCTATTTCAACAAGAAAAAAACTACGATAAGAAGAGACAAAGAAGATCACTATGTAACGATAAAGGAGTCAATTCATCAGGAATATATAACAAATTTAAATACGTATGCATCCAGCCTTGCAGCATCCAGGTATATAAGGCAAATATTATTAGAGTGAAAGAGAGATAAACTCCAATATGATAAAATTTGGAGACTTCAACATCCCACTTTCAGCATTAGATAGATCTTCCAGACAGATAATCAACAAAGAAGCATAAGACTTAATCTGTACTATGGACTAAATGGATCAAATAGATATTTACAAAAAAATTCATCCAATGGTGACAAAATGCATCTTTTTCTCCTCAAGAATAGATCATATGTTAGCTCACAAAGCAAGCCTTAAAACATTCAGAAAATTGAAATAATATCAAGCATCTACTCTGACCACAATGGAAGGAAACTAGAAACTAATAACGAGGAATTTCGGGAACTATTCAAATTCATGGAAATTGGACAATCTACTCCTGAATAACCAGTGGGTCAATAAAGAAATTAAGAGGGGAATTGGAAAGCTTGAAACAAATGGTAATGAAAATGCAACATACCAAAACCTGAGATAAAGAAAAAGCACTACCGACAGGGAAGTTTATAGCTATTAGTGCCTACATTAAAAAAAGAGGAAAAACTTCAAATAAACAATCTAACAATACATTTGAAAGAACTAGAGAAGCAACAGTAAAGCAAACCCAAAACCAGTAGAAGAAATAATGAAGATCAGAGCAGAAATAAATGAAATAGAAATAAAGGAAGTGATACAAAATATCAATGAAACAAAAGTTGGTCTTTTGAAAACTAAAACAAAATAGACAAATAGACAAACTTTTAGTCAGACTAAGAAAAAAAGAGAAGATCTAAGTAAATAAAATTTTAAAAGGACACATTACAACCAATACTACAGAAATTCAAAGGATCATTAGTGGCTATAAATAACTACTAATGCCAATAAATTGAAAAATCTAGAAGAATGGACAAACTCATAGTCACATAAAAACCCACCAATATTGAGTCTGTTCACAAAACGTGAACAGACCCAAAACAAGAAACAAGATTGAAGTGGTAATAAAATGTCTCCTATTAAAGAAAATCCTGAGACCCAATGGGTTCACTTCTGAATTCTACCAAGCATTTCAAGAAGAACTGATACCAATCCTACTCAAAACTATTTGAAAAAATAGTGGGGGAGGGAATACTTCCAAACATATTCTATAAGGTGAATATCATCCTGATTATCAAAAAGACAAATAACATAAAAAAAAAAAACTATGGGTCAATATCTCTGATGAATATTAATGAAAATTCCTCAATGAAATACTTGCAAGCAGAATTCAACAATGCATTATAAAGATCATTCATCATGACCAAGTGGGATTTATCCCTGAGATGCAAAGATGATTCAACATACACAAATCAATCAATGTGATACATCATATCAATGGAAACGAAGGACAAAAACCATATGGTCATTTAAATTGATATTGAAAAAGCCTCTGATCAAATACAACATTCTTTCATAATAAAAAATCCTCAAAAAACTGGGTGTAGTAGGAGCATACTTTAACATAATAAAAGCCATATATGACAAACCCATAGCTAGTATTATACTCACTTGAAGAAAAACTGATAGCCTTTCCTCTAAGATCTGGAACACAACAAGATTGCTCACTGTCACCACTGTTATTCAACATAGTACTGGAAGTCCTAGCTACAGCAATCCTACTAAAGAAAGATATGAAAGACGTCCAAATTATAAAATAAGAAGGCAAGTTATCCTTGTTTGTTGATGACATGATCTTATATTTAGAAAAACCTGCAGGGCGGGTGGCTCACACCTGTAATCCCAGCACTCTGGGAGGCTGAGGCAGGTGGATCACGAGGTCAAGAGATCAAGACCATCCTGACCAACATGGTGAAACCCCGTCTCTACTAAAAAATACAAATATTAGCTGGGTGTGGTGACACATGTCTGTAGTTCCAGCTACTCGGGAGGCTGAGGCAGAATTGCTTAAACCCGAGAAGCAGAGGTTGCAGTGAGCTGAGATTGCACCACTGCACTCCAGCCTGGTATCTGGTGACAGAGCAAGACTCTGTCTCAAAAGACTCCAAAAAAAAGAAAACCAGTAGAACTAATAACAAATTCAGTATAGTTACAGAATACAAAAATCAATGTACAAAAATCAGTAGCATTTCTATATGTCAACAGGGAACAATATGAAAAATAAATTTTAAAAAGTCCCATTTACAATAGCCTCACATAAAGTTAAATACCTAGGAACTAACCAAAGAAGTGAAAGATTGGTACAAAAGTAATTGTGATTTTTGTCACTTGACATTGGAATGTGTTATTACATAAATATGGTTATGTTGTACATTATTTTAATGGACATTTATCACTTTTTTTGCTAATGATTTGTTACTTGATGTTTATGTTTATTTTAGACTGTGGAAATGATGTTAGACAAAAAGCAAATTCAAGTGATTTTCTTACTCGAGTTCAAAATGGATTATAAAGCAGTAGAGACAACTCACAATGTCTACAATGCACTTGGCCCAGGAACTGCTAATGAACATACAGTGCTGTAGTAGCTCAAGAAGTTTTGCAAAGGAGTTAATAGCCTTGAGGATGCGGAGTGTACTGGCCAGCCATCAGCAGTTGACAATGACCAACTGAGACCAATCATCAAAGCTGATCCTTTTACAACTACATGAGAAGTTGCCGAAAAACTCAACATTGACGATTCTATGGTCATTTGGCATTTGAAGCATATTGGAAAGGTGAAAAAAGTCAATAAATGGATGCTTCATGAGTTAAGCAAAAATTTTAAAAGATTCATGATTTTAAAGTGCTGTCTTCTCTTATTCCACTCAATAATGAACCATTTCTTGATTGGATACTGACATCTAATAAAAAATTGGTTTTATATGACAATCGACAATGACCAGCTCAGTAGTTGGACTGAGAAGAAGCCACAAAGCCCTTCCCAAAGCCAAAATTGCACCAAAAATGGTCACAGTCACTGTTTGGTGGTCTGCTGCTGATCTGATCCACTCTAGCTTTCTGAATCCCAGCAAAAGCATCACGTCTTAAAAGTATGCTCAGCAAATCGATGAGATGCACCAAAAACTGCAACACCTACCGCTGGCATGGTCAACAGAAAGGACCCAATTCTTTTCCACATCATTGCCTGACTGCATATTGCACAAATAACACTTCAAAAGTTGAACAAATTGGGCTATGAAGTTTTGCCTCATCTGCCATATTCACCTGACCTCTCGCCTACAGACTACCCCTTTTTTAAGCATCTTGACAACTTTTCACAGGGAAAACGCTTCCACAAGCAGCAGGATGCAGAAAATGCTTTCCAAGATCAAATATCAAAGTGTGGGTTTTTACATGACAGGAATAAACAAACTTACTTCTCACTGGCAAAAATGTGTTGATTGTAATGGTTCCTATTTTGATCACTAAAGATGTGTTTGAGCCTAGTTATAATGATTTAAAATTCACAGCCCAAAACCATGATTACTTTTGCACCAATCTAATAAAAAATACTGATGAAGGAAATTGAAGAGAATATCAAAAAAATGGAAAAATATTCCAAATTCATGGATCGGAAGAATCAATATTATTAAAATGCCCATACTACCCAAAGCAACCTACATATTCAATGCAATCCCTATCAAAATATCAATAATATTCTTAACAGAAATAGAAAAATCAATCCTAAAATTTACGTGGAACCACCAAAGTCCCAGAATAACCAAAGTTGTGCTAAACCAAAATAACAAAACTGGAGAAGTCCTGTAACCTGTCTTCAAAATTATACTACAGAGCTATAGAAACCAAAACAGCATGGTGCTGGCAAAAATTAATAATAATAATAAACAAATAGACCAATGGAACAGAATACAAAACCTAGAAACAAATCCACACACTTACAGTGAATTTGATACAGGTGCCAAGAACATACACTGGGGAAAGACAGTCTCTTCAATAAATGGTTCTGGGGAAACCGGATATCCATATGTAAAATAAGGAAATAGACCCCTATGGCTGATTATATTTTTAAAAAATCAAATAAAAATAGAGAATATATGTGTGTGTGTGTGTGTGTGTGTGTGTATCTGCTATGTAGCCATAAAAATTAATTTAAAGAAATAAAATTATGGCCCTGCACATTCCGTAGCAACATAAAAGCACTAGAAAAAAGATCTCATATTCTAATTATAACTGTACATACATATATAACTCAGGGAAAAAATACTTAAATGCAGTAATATTATTTTAGAAGCAATATTGCATTTTTTAAAATAATGGATTATGTCACCTTTTATTAAAAAAATAAAAAATATTTTCTTTGATACAAACTTTCAAAAATATTTTTTAAATACAATATAAAATCTTTTACACAGCAAAAGAAACTAGCATCAGAGTGAAGAGACACTCTATATAATGGGAGAAAATATTTGCAAACTATTCATCTCACAAAAAGTTTATATCTAGACTATATAAGAAACTTGAAAGAAAAAAAAAAACCTGATTTTCAAATGAGCAAAATATCTTAGTAGACATTTCTCAAAACAAGACATACAAATTGTCAACAGGATACGAAAAAAATACTTAACATCTCTAGAAATCAAGGGAGTGCAAATACAATACCACCTCACTCCAATAAAACCACTATTATCAAAAAGACAAAGGAAAACAATGTTAGCAAGTACGGGAGGAAAAGGGAACATTTACACACTGTTGGTGGTAATGCAAACTAGCACTGTCATTATGGAAAACAGTATGACGTTTCCTCGGAATATTAAAAATAGAGCTACAACACAAACCAGCAATCCCCCTACTGGATATATATCCAAAGAAAATAAAAACAGTATGGCAAACAAATATTTTCGCTCCCATGTTTTGTAGTATTTTTGAGAGGGGAGACCCCCCTCCACTCCTCTCGCTTCCCTCCTCCACCTCACCTCCCCTCCAGATGAGGAGGGTAAAAAAGAGAAAAGAACAAAAAATATCAAGAATCTAGGAAGATAACTCCCTTTTCAGTTCCCAGCATCTCTGCTATCTGTAAGCCTTGAAAGAGTTGCAAATGAATGTTATCCCTACCGGCTGGAGCCCAGCACTGGGTCACGCCGCCATGTCTGCCCAGCCCAGGCTCCCTCCTAGGAAACACCTCTGCCAACTAAGAGTTTACTGCCTTTGTCTTGCCTCTGTAAGGTCCCTCCCCTGCACGTTCCCACTCATGCTGCATATGAATTAACAAATCAATAAAGCCAAAAGATTGTAAGGTCAGATGTCTAGTAAATGGACAATGACATAGTTTTGCCTCAGTTTCCTCTTTAGCGTAGTAAGCTTATAAAAGGGGTGAGAAGCTGCTCCTTGGGGAGCTCTGTAAACGAGGCTGCAGCGCCCTCCCCGCCGCCCCCCGCAGCTCCTGGCCAAGTAAAAAGCCACTCCCTTCCTCAGTTTGGTGATCTAGAGGTTCGTGTCTCCCCTTTCCTGCTTCATTTTCACAATAGTGAAGAAAAGAGGCCAGGCGTGGTGGCTCACATCTGTAATACCAGGACTTTGGGAGGCCAAGATAGATGGATCACCTGACGTCAGGAGTTTGGAACCAGCTTGGCCAACATGGTGAAACCACAACTCTACTAAAAATACTAAAATTAGCTGGGTATGGTGGCATGTGCTTGTAATCCCAGCTACTGGGGAGGCTGAGGCAGGAGGATCTCTTGAACCTAGGAGGCAGAGGTTGCAG